AATATTCTGTTTATTGTGGCACAGTGAGTTAAGCCATCACTTGCACTTGCAGTCTACATTGGGGTGAGGGTTTGAGTCCCAGTTACTTCACTTTGGATCCAACTTCCTGCTACTGCACTGGGGAAGGCAGCAAGAGATGGCTCAAGTGCTTAGGCCCAGGCCATGCCTATGAGAGACCAGAATGCAGTTCCTAGCTACTGGCTTAGGGCTGGCCCAGACCTAGCTATTGTGCTTATTTTGGGAATGAACCAGCACTTTCTCTCTCTCTCTCTCTCTCTCTCTCTCTCTCTCTCTCCTTTTCTGTCACTCTGCCTTTCAAATAAATAATTTTAAAAAAAAAATAAGTTCTAATCATTCTTTTGTAAACCTATGTCCAACATTGCAAGAAAGTAGCTGAACATGTGTAAAATGTTCAGCTCTGCTCTCAGATTTACTTTAAGAGAGAACCAAAATCAATCCCTGGGAACACTCAACATCTACTAATTTTTGATCATTAGATGTTCTTCTTTTGGAGCATTAACCATCTCAAATAACATTTTATTAATGTTCTAAAATATATACCTCTGCCTAGCGAAGTCATTTGGAAGTCTTTTTCTTCCTGGGAAGCTAATCCATCATCTTTCTAATTTAAAAAGAGTTTCAGTTGGAAACATGTTTGGTTGCTGGTAACCATTAAGAGAAAAAAAAGCATAAAAAAGGACAGATGTCAACCCGAGTACTATCTAATTTAAAATCTGGTTTTGGATGTGCTGTCCTCAATTTAAAGCCACAACTTGGGTACTGATGGAACAAATGACAACAAGAACTAAAGATAAAGTCACAGGGCCCAAATCAGGACCTTTTTAACCAATAGGGATAATGCTTAAAATACTAAAATTAGAAAGAGCTTAAAGTGTATGTTTTTAACATAGTAGTAACCAATTAAAACATTTAGAAAATTTTATGGCTAGATTTAGAAGCAAAATTTTAAAAAAGATAAAAGCAAAAATAAAAGCTAGAAATCTTTTTTTTTTTTTTTTTTTTTTTGACAGGCAGAGTGGACAGTGAGAGAGAGAGACAGAGAGAGAAAGGTCTTCCTTTTTGCCGTTGGTTCACCCTCCAATGGCCGCCGCTGCAGCCGGCGCACCGCGCTGATCCTGGCAGGAGCCAGGAGCCAGGTGCTTTTCCTGGTCTCCCATGGGGTGCAGGGCCCAAGCACCTGGGCCATCCTCCACTGCACTCCCTGGCCATAGCAGAGAGCTGGCCTGGAAGAGGGGCAACCGGGACAGAATCCGGCGCCCCAACCGGGACTCGAACCCGGTGTGCCGGCGCCGCAAGGTGGAGGATTAGCCTATTGAGCCACGGCGCCGGCTCCCTAGAAATCTTGATATATATTTAATAGACCTGTTGTCTTACTTTTGCTACAGTGCTTTTGAAAACCATTTGCGATTAAGGGTAGATAACAGAAATTGCTCAAGTGTTGTGTTTCACTGATCTACATTTTCTTTCCTTAATGTGGTTTTCACATCCTGCTGAACCTATAGAGCACATTTAGGCTGTATGCCATGTTCCAGTTTCAGATTAATTTTCTAAGATTTTATATGTTGGTCCTTTTTTCCATTAGGAAGTGTTTGATCAGCTTACTCATTTTGTTATTTTTATGTCAATGCGGTAATATCCTATAGAGTTATCTATAAAATTATGTTTGCCTTATGCTACAGCCAACCCATATATGTGGAAAAGGGGGAGACTACTAGCTCTAACACAACTTCTGATGGATTAACCTATATTAATCTGTCATAAGTGTATAACCATTGAGTCCAGGCTCATAAACAGTCCACACACATACCTTAAAGCAGAGCTAAAGATCTGTATAAAGTCAACAGCAAATCTAAAATCTTCTACAGGCCACACAAGTTGAGATTCATTCTTTTTTTTTTTTCTTATCTTTTTTTTTTCCATTTCCCTCTTCCTTCGTCCTGTTTTTCTTTCTCTCCTGCATTCCTTCCTTATGTTTTCATTCTTTTTTAAATTCCTTTCTTATCTTGCTTTCAATTATTTTCTTTTCCTAATTTCCTTCAATAACATCCCTGCCATTTTCTTTTTTTTCCATCTTTTTCATCCTATTTGGTCTTTCATTATATTTATTTTTCAGTCTATTTGTTGTCACTTGTTCACTGAAAATTAGGTAGGTGTAATAGAAAATATAGCTGCCGCCTGCACTGCTGGCATCCTGTGTGGGCGCCAGTTTGAGTCCTGGCTGCTCCACTTCCAAACCAGCTCTCTACTGTGGCCTGAGAGGGCAGTGGAGGATGGCCCAGGTCATTGGGCACCTGTATCCATGTGGGGTATCTGCGGGAGGCTCCGGCCATTGCAACTATCTGGGGAATGAACTAGCAGATGGAAGACCTCTCTCTCTCTCTCTTACTCTCTCTCTCTTTCTGCCTCTCTGTAACTCTGCATTTCAAATAAATAATCTTCAAAAACATATAAATATTGAGAAGTTTTTATGTGCATATATCTAAGACTTTAAGGTGCACAATCACACAATCTCATTCTTCACAATATTTTTGTAAGTGAGTAGGGACATGGTGACTAAGCAAGGTTAATTAACTTTCATAAACTCACAGAGTGGTAGGATTAGAAACCAGGTATGTCTATTCCAGGGCCCCTAGTGACGTCGACACTTTATAACTCTTTTGCTGCCTAGATTTTATTTGTCAGCCAATCACTTGCCACCTGTTTCTTCTTTTTGACCCTGTGGAAAACATACACAAACGACACTTGGCACTTTTTCTTCTTCACTCAATAAAAAAAATGCACTAACTTGTGCCAGGCACTGAATAGTCAGTTTCCATGATGATGATTATGATAATGATGGTAGCATACACTTCTGTTGCCATCTGTGGGCCCAAAGCTATCTTCACCATTTTACATGGATAAATGTATACCATTCATAATGAGAGCTTAGCTGTTTATCTTAAGTAAAGGTGGAGTGCTGAGCATAATCAGCACATGGCCACTAGTCACAGGTTCCTGTTAAGACAAAGATGTTTTGAAGCTGGAATGTCTTTGCAAATGGCCTTCATTTTCATGACCAGGTGCTACACATTTTCAACCAATTCAAGTGAAATTGAATAAAATCTTCAAGTAAGACATATTTTGAGGTGATAATGCAGAATATATAAACTAACCAGCTAATATGTTATTTTTTGAATAACAGAATAGCTTTAGGAAGGAAGGAAAAGTGAAACAAATATATGCCTATGCCTTGCTTTCTTTTTAAATGACCAAATTAGAAGGGTTATCATCTGTACATGATTTGTTAAAAATTCAAGGCCATTTAAGAATAATTTATTTCTTAAAGATTAGTATCATATACTTTGCTTCACATAGCAGTGTGATAATTTTTGGATGATTGGCCGTTTGATATTTTGTTTTTTCATGTTATTTTTTTAAAATTTATTTATATATTCAAAAGGCAAAGTTACAGAGACAGGAGAGACTGAGAGAAAAGAGAGAGAGAGAGAGAGAGAGATCTTTCATTTGCTAATTCACTCCCCAAATGGCCACAGTGGCCTGCACTGGGCCTCTGAAGCCAAGAGCAAGGAGCTGCTTCTGGTTCTCCCACATGGGTTCAGGGGCCCAAGCACTTGGGCCATTCCCTGCTGCTTTCCCAGATTCATTAGCAAGGAGCTAGATTGGAAATGGAGCATCCAGGACTCAAACTGATGGGATGCCAGCACTGCAGATAGCGGCTCAATCTGCTATACCACAGTGCCATCCCTTGATATTTTATTCTTATGGATCTTTTGTGCCCCTGCATCTGTTTTAAGCACAGTCAAGAAAATGTGATAATCAATTCAAAATTTCTAGTTATTGTTAGCTATACATGTATATAAATAAATACTCCCAAATTCCAAATGAGAACAACATTGGACATTAAGAAAAAAAAATAACTGTCAGGTATGAAAAGACATATTTCTCATAAAAATTCATTGATTTTGAGTTACTCCAAATTTGTTTAACATATCCTAACTTAACATAGTAGCTTGGTGATTCATCTGTATGGACTACCATTTTGGAGCAGAAAAAAAGAATCTGTGGATCTCTTTAGTTATCTACAAGATAGCACATTTAATTATACCATTGCCCAGCAGGGAAAAGTTCATGGTACTTCTTCTTGGCTTATAGCTCTGGGGTTAAATACTCAATAGAATCATTATCAAATCTGAATCATTATTTAGCCAGAAGTTTTATATCTCAAAGAAGAAAAGCAATTAGATGCTGATTAGAGAATTTAGCTGTGACTACCTGGACACACCACAGGCAAGATATTTTATTTTACTCTATTCCCAAATCCATGAATAATGTAGTATTAGTTGCACTTCCTACATCATTCCCATTCTGAATTTGGAACCTGACTACCATTTGAAAAGTATTTTCTCTTTTCCTTTTTTAGCATTTTATTGCAGAGAGGAATGCCCATGTGCTCCTGGAAGCTGTGTAGATACGTGCAAATAATTAGTCCTCATTTTGACCAAACAACCTTTTTAACAGCTAAATGACACTTCTTAAAGAATAAATAAATGCTTTAAGTGTTGATAGTTCTGCTCAGAGAAACGAGTTCCCCTCCACAGTCACTTTACCAGGCAAATCATCTCTAGATATTTGCTTCCCTCTTAACTTTTCTTGCTTTTGCACTTAAGCTCTGCATTATTCAGCTTAGTTAACATGTAGAGCAGGAAGCTGTTTCTTAACTTTTGCCCCTCTTTTTCGAAGGTAATTTGATATATATTAACTGGGATTCTGCACTTTTTACTCTTTCTGATCTGTTTAAAAATTCTTTAAATGTTTTTAAAGCTGATATTCTTGTAAAGTCCATCATACTAATATGGAAGAGATTACATAGTGATGAGGATATACATCCTTTTTCATTCTCTCAATTTTCCCTTCTTTTTATTTCCCTAGATTAAGCAAAGTGAATTGGAAATTAACTAGTAAAAAAAAGGTGATTTAAATATGTACAATATAGTAATTATGTAACAACAGTTTTTTGGGGAGAAATTATACCTAGTTAAGTAGATACAGAGTACTAATTATTATTTATAGCCTTTATTGTTATATACCTGCAAGTGACAAAAGATTGTTTCATTTAACTTTGAACAGCTAGTAATTATAAAATATAATGCCAACTGTCAGAAAAACCATTAACTTATATACACCTAATCTTTGAAATTGAATTACAGTATTACAATTCTTCTATGCTTCTTGCTATATGCATTTTAAAAGTATTAAATAAAATACTAACCATTAAAAGTTTCCTTTTTCATCTTCTTTTCTAAGTGTTTATTTAAAACAAATGACTTGGAGTTTATAATACAAATATATAACTATAATCTTTTTTACAGTGCCAGTGCTATTTAGCTGTAACTTATTGGTAAACATGCTAAAAATTAAAGATTTTTACACTTTTATTCAATGCCAAGAAAAAGCAGACATTGAGCAAAAAAATGTGTGATTTTTGATGGTTTAGAATCAGTATTCTATCATTCAAATATATGTAGGGAAAGAATACACAGGATAGTAGAGCAATAATAGTGATAACAGCAGAAAAATGTGAGGGTATTCCAAAAGTCCATGGAAAAATGGAATTAAAAGATAAGTATGGGGCCAGTGTTGTGGCACACTGGGTTAAGCCACTGCCTGCAATGCTGGCATCCCATATGGGCACCAGTTTCCATCTTCAAATCCAGCTCCCTGCTAATGTACCTGGAAAAGCAGCTGAAAATGGCCCAAATCTTCAGGCCACTGTACCCACATGAGAGACCAGGAAAAATCTCCTGGCTCCCAGTTTTGGCCTGGTACAGCTCCAGCCATTGAGGGCATTTTGGGAGTGAACCAGTGAATAGAAGATTCTCTCTCTCTCTCTCTCTCTCTCTCTCTCTCTCTCTGTCTCTGTCTCTCTGTACCTCTGCCTAATCTGCCCATTGCTTTTTCATATTCATGAATTTTTTGTAAGCACTCTGTAAGCATAGATTCAAATATATTTTACTCCAACACAAACATTTTATTTCCATTATCACTGAACTTTTAAAAGTCTGCTCAAATATAAAAGATTTCTGTGTAGATAATGTTATGCTAAAGCACTTACTTGCATTTTCTTAATTAATCCTCAGAACAATCCACTGTTATACAGCCAGTTGGCAAATAACATAGCATAAACTTACATCAGACTTCTGTTGCTCAGATCCCAGTGTGTTTACCACTCTTGATTCATCAATTCCTTTAAACAACCACAAGGTGAATGTAAAGATGTGTACAGTACATGGTTACTTGATTTTTGTGTTCCAAGATACAAGTATGAAAAGAATATAAACGTACTGAAAGGCACCACTACCTTTACTTTACTATCATTTAATATACATAGCTTTTCCCCATTCCCACTGGTTATACCTCAGTTTCATTGGTTGCAACCATATATCCTCAAATAAACTAAAAATCTACATATTATTCAATTACTTGTTTAACTTAGGGAGTTAAATTGGAAGTATAGTCTAAATTTCATTTGTGTTGATTTTCTTTTAAGAAATATGTAGTCTGCTTTCCTTCCAAATTGTGATTAATATGGCTTATGTAATCTTTTTGATGCGCCGTTTACCAGAAAAAAATATCCAAATCCTACTCCATTTTGTTGTTCTTAGAATGTTTATTTCCACTTCTCGTATCCAATTCACTAAGGAGTGTTTTAGCATCTCCTGTTCTCGCTTCAACCCAGCCCCGTGTGGTTTCCAAAGATGGCTTTTCTTTCCGTGGAATGACAGTGACCCAAAGCCTGATAATTGAGCACTCTTCCTACCATGTGGAATTTAAAATAAACCTATCACCATGAAGACAAAACTTTTCTGTAGCTGTATTTGGCTTCAGTAATGGTAGAAGTTTGAGGCTTTTTAAGAACACAGTAATTTTGACTTGGCCACAAAAAAATCAAGGACCAACTGAGGTACAGCTGTAAGAGAAAACACCAAGGAAAAGCAGTCTGAGTACCAAGTCACATCTCAGTGTTGTTCTGGCTCTAGGACCTCTCCCCTGGTGCCCTCAACATGCTTTTTAAGTTTTCACCTTTTTAATCTGTCCAAGCTAAAATCATTTCCCTTATGTCAGGCTAAGACTTCAGCAGTTCCCACTATATCTGACATCTTTCCAACTGTCTTCAATGTATACACGCATGTTTTGCTGCTTCAATTCAGCTTAAAGATGATTTTCTTCAAAATTACAACATGAGTTCATAATACATGGATGTGCTACTGTTTGAGAAGATGTACATTATAGTCATCAAGAGCACAGTAGACGTAGACTCTTGGGGAACTCAGTTAACTTCTTTGTGTGTTAGTTTCCTCATATGGAAAAGGGGGACAATATAAAATGGAGGTATATATAAAGACCTAAGACTAGTACCTGAGATATTCTTGAATTCAGCAGTTCTTGAAAGTACAAAGGAACATACTTTTATAGAATTTATATATAAATATCTTACTCTAGTACCTGAAATATTCCTGAATGCATCTTGAATTCAAAATCTATTGAATGAAGGAACATGATTTTAGAGATTTTGGAAACTTCATGCCTGTTTTATGCAGCAAATCTCTCATTTTTCTCTCCGCATTTAAATTTTACTGAGTTTCCTATGTCCTGCCACAACAAATCCCAATGCCACTAGTTTTTTACTTATTTGCAAAATAGAGAAGGCTGACAAAGTATAAAGCAGAAATTGCCAGCTTTTTCCACTTGAAGAGTTGCTGAGGTATTCAGTACAATATGATGGTTATTGCAGTTCACATACATTTTAAGTGTGTCATTTATAGGAAAACTCCCAGAATATATGTTTGGAGATGATTCCCATTGTTACAATATTTGCAGTTTTATCTCTTTTTTTGCTTGTGATAAAATTTATTCATTTGAATTATAAAAAACTGACCAATACACAAAGACTTGTAAAAATCCTTTCCAACCAGTCTTCTTTGCCTAAGAGCTGCAGAATAGCCAATGAAGCTAATTCATTGCACACAAGGGAAAATCTGTTTACACCATGAAACCTGTTTTCCTATGTGATGCCCAATGCTGGCACAGTCAAAACTGAAAACATTGGCAAAAACAAAAACACACACACAAAGACTTAAATAAAGAGCATGTATGGCAGATGGTGGAGATGAATAGTTGATCGTCACTGTCTGCTAGTCTGACTGTACTGACTTCGAATTGTTGCAGTACCATAATTTCTCCATGATTATCTGTGAAATTATGTTGACTGTTAAGCTCTGATTCATGCTTTTCTTAAATCATCTGTGGGAGAGATGACAGTCTAATTGCACTCCTGAATTTTTTACACTATGAGTTTGTTAAGCAAGACATATTTTACTAAAGAAAAAGCCCAAATGTATGTAATTTGACATTGTGGCAGATTAATACTTAGGCATTAGACCAGCATTACAATTAGACAGCTTAAATGTGTCCTACATCTTAATGTCTATATGACTTTAAGAAGTCACATTAAGTTCTCCAAGAAAAGGTCTGTTGCCATTTCTCTGATTGAAATAAATCAAAGTCTATCAGAGGATTTAAGTGAAGCACGAGAATGCTCATCACAATTGCACCTAATTCTAGAAAATTGAAATCTAGAGAATTAATTGTAAATTCAGAATATCTCAAGATGAGAAACTGTATTTACAGTAGACTTCCTGAAGTGGTTATTGAGAATGTGAGTAACTCTTATTCCTTGAGTTATCTGATTTCTTTTTCAATTATGATGAAACTTCAGGCTCTGAAGTAAAATTTTAAATGACAACAAAAATGCAATTTACAATTCATATGACTTTGTATGCATATTAAAATTACATTAAACTGTACCAAATATCATATAACAATAAATAGGTTACTCATAAATTGCCTAGGATATACAGATTTTTCACATGATGTTTTAAACTACAGAAGTGTTCAAGTCTTTTCAGTGTAACATACGGTAAGAAATTCTTTGTAGATAGGAATCAACTACATACATATAAGAGGTAGACATCCGTAAAAAGGTATAAAATCTTCACAAAACAATGGGAACTTCACATAAAACTCCTTAAATGAATGCAACCATTAACTCACAGATCATGATGCTCAGTTTGAAAATCACTGCCCTAAATTGCACATGATCTCTTTCATTTAAAATATGTCAGTCTAGGAGAAGTTTGAGTCTTGGCTCTGCTCCCTATTCAGCTTTCTGCTAATGGTGCATCTTGGGATGTGGCAGGTAATGGCCTAAGAAGCCAAGTCGCTGCCACCCACAGGGTAGAAGAGAGTGAGTTTCTAGCTCCTGGCTTCAGACTGGTCCAGCCTCAGTTGTAGTGGGATTTTGGGGAGTAAATTGCAGATGGGAAATTCCCATTCCATGGTGTGCATTAGAAAGAAACTGAAGTCAGGATCTGAGGCTGGGCATTGAACTCAGGAGCCTTGATGTGGGATGCTGGTGTCTTAATTCGCATCTTAACTGTAGGCCAAAAAATGCCTAACCCTCCCCAATGAACTTTTGCTTAGAATGCCCCTACTGCTTCCACTGATAACCCTACCGCCTAGACTACATATGGCAATTGTATTTTGTACTGTAAAATACATCCCTGTCTTACTCCTTCCAATCACTTATCTCATTCTATTAGAAAGCAAGTCTCAGCTATAGTGATTATAGGACTAAGGATGTGGTGAACATAATGTGGTGGAAAACTTCATTCAGGTAAGCACGTACCAAATGAAAAAGCAAATGCCTCTTCACTTCTGCAGCTTGGATGATGACATTGCACTTATGATTGACATATGTCTTGATAATAGTTTACCTTTAGCCATCAGCAAAGTAGACACAATTGTCAGCAGTGCCATATAGTCTGTTTCCCTACCATGTCATCCATTCACCCGTTCAGCAAGCACTTACTGTATATGTGACTGGCATGGTATTAGAATCTAGGGTAGATGGTTAAAAATTTTAGTCCTATCTTGCCCAAAAGGAGTCATACTTTACAGAAAAAGGCCCATGAATAGATGGCAGACCCCAGTGCATTATACTAAGTGCTATGGTACAGAAAGATCTAGGATGGAAACTGGAGAGCCAAGAGAAACCAATTTTAGACAAGCTGATCAGAAGAAATCTCAAAGGAGACACACGGGAGGTGGATTTTGAAAGATTCATGAGAGCTAAGTGAATAAAAAGGCAAAGAATAGGAGAAAAATCATTTTAATATGAAGATGTTGAGGGGGCTGGCACCGTGGCTACTTGGTTAATCCTCTGCCTGCAGTGCCGGCATACCATATGGGCGCAGGATTCTAGTCCCAGTTGCTCCTCTTCCAGTCCAGCTCTCTGCTGTGGCTCAGGAAGGCAGTGGAGGATGGCCCAGGTGCTTGGACCCCTGCACCCACACGGGAGACCAGGAAGAAACACCTGTCTCCTGGCTTCAGATTGGTGTAGCTCCGGCTGTAGTGGCCATTTGAGGGGTGAACCAATGGAAGGAAGATCTTTCCCTCTGTCTCTCTCACTGTCTATAACTACCTGTCAAAAAAAATATGAAGATGTTGAACAACATGAGGCATTCTAGAAATGACAACTACATTCCATTTGTCAAAATGTCAAATAGCAGCATGGACAAATAGGATAGAGATGAGGATTAAGAAGTAGGCAGGATCCATCCAGATCCAGCAGGACATTGTGCACTGATATAAGGAGTTTATGGAAAAGGATTTTAAGCCAGGAAAAAACTTGTCAATCTACTGACTGAACTTAAAATAATCCTAAAGTTGCTTTTCATTACAAATACTTTCTTGCTAATCCCTGTGAGAGAAACAAGTAAAAAACAAGTGACAAGCAAGCAATAAACATCAGGAAGTCACAGAAGTACTGTAAATCTTACAAAGCACTCTGGTACCTGGATATGTTTCTTTAATCTTATGTCAAATTCTCTTTGTCTTGTTGGGAAGACATGGTGCCCACACTTAGAATGGTGTAAAGCTATTCCTCTGGTAATAACACCAGGAGCAGCTATCACTGAGGGGTGGAGGAAAGGTGTTATCATCCAGAAAATTGAGTTGTTTACATTTTACTGGACAAAAGCAAACAGGACTGTTTTTGTTGATCATATACAAATAACACGGACAATTAGGTACTAGAGTGAAGTGGAAATTTCAGAAGTGCAAAATAAAAGTTCTTGAGTAGATACTTTAAACATAGATGTCCAGGACATGAAAATCAAGGTTTTTCATCTCAATTTCCTTTAATGTATGAAATACAAGTAGAAAGGATAAAATGCATCAATTCCATGCTGTTCCAGCTCTGAACAGAGAAAGCATGTGGATATGTACTGTTTTCCTATTTCAGCTGTAAAATGTTACTACAAACTTAGGAACATAAACAATAAAAATTTATTCTCTTTACATCCTATATGTCAAAAGGCTGACATGAATCTCATATGACTAAAATAAATTCTCAGCGTGGCAGCACTCTTTTCTGGAGATGCAGGAGGGGATTATTTCCTTGCACTTTCTAGTTCATAAAGCCTGCCCACATTCCTTGGTCTGCAGCCCCTTCATCTTCAAAGCTAACTGTGTCAAGCTGAATTTTTTTCACATAACTTCACTCTGATACTGCCTTTTCTTCTGCCTCCTGCTTTCAAAGCTCTGGTGATTACAAATTGGCAAATTTTGGCAATGCAGAATAATCTCCCTGTTTTAAGTTCAATGAATTAGCAGCATTAATGCCATCTGGAACCCTAATTCCCCATTGCCATGTTACCTAACATGTTCTCAGTTTCCAGATATTAGGATGTGTATTTGGAAAGGGCCTGTTTGATCTCTACCACAGAGAGGCTATGAGAACAAAGGCACAGACCAAGTGGCTTCTGTAACATACCAGCCAGCACTGGAATTACTTCTGAATACAGTTGGGAAGGTGTCATGCAAACTCGAGGAGATCCACAGCTTGTTTCTCCATCCATCATAGGCTCCAGTGAGATTCAGCAGTGAGATTTTGCCACTCTCCAAAGCAACAGGAAGTAAATAAAGGAAAACATTTCAATGAGCAGCAAAAATCAATGAAGCAAACTGATCCAGTGATGCTACATTGATTCCTTCCCTTTTAGCTGCTCATTCAGTTTTGTTTGCTGGTCACCATTGATCATTTCTTTTCTTTTCCCTTTATTTAACTGCTTTGCATTCCTGAGTTCTTCAACACTCTTTTGGTTTTAATCATGATTGCCAGTGTAGTTTCCACTGATAACTCATTGACCAGAGTAAAGAGTCAGCATTCCACCTCTCAAGCAGCACTTCAGAGCTCAATGTCTGCTTGCAGCTGTCCTCAAAGGTCACAGTCAACAAAATTTATAAATTCTTGGGGTGTTTAACTTCAGACACTTAAATAATTTAACCTCAAATGTTAATGCAGTTGAACCTAAATTATTTTTTCTACTTCTAAATATATGTTTCATTATTTGTTCAAATCTGTCAGTGAATAATTTATTTACAACATACTTGTGTAATTTTTGCTTTTTGAGGATTGCTGTTGAGCTATTAAATATTTCTTAACCTTTGATTCTTATGCAAAGGAAAAAAATGTCTAAGTGTAAAAATGTACCTTCCTTCTCCCATAAACAAGAATGCTGGAAACACACTCAGCGTCTAATTCAGGGATCTTAAACCCTACTGAAGACTTTTTATAAGTTTTAGAATAAGGGGGAGAGAGAGAGAGATTGATTTACTGGTTCACTGCTAGGTGCCCACAATGACTGAGGCTGAACTTAAGTTAACCCAAGAGTCAGGAATACAAATACATAGATGCCAGAAACCCAAATACTTGCACCATCGCTGCTGCCTTCCAAGGAAGCTGGAGACAGAAGCCTGAACCAGGTATCAAATCCAAGTACTGCATTGTGGAATGGGGACGTCTTCAGCAGAGGCTTGACCAATAGGCTAAATACCCCCACCCCCAACTGAAATTTATGCTGAATTTGTGGATACATATCTGCATAAAATTTTGCGGATACATATAATGGTGGGGAGGAAATACTTCTAGTTTTCAAAAGATTATTAAAGCCTCTGAATCCTGAAGAAAATAATTTCTAATATTAGAAATCCCAAAAGACTAGAAGGAAAATCATGAAATCTATCATTATTTACAATGGACAAATAAATACGAATGGTCAAGAATGGTGTCTGTTCTTAGTGACGTAATCATGACTAACATGTGAAGCAAACGTCATCAGCCCCTCTCTGAGTTTTGTAAATGCCCTTGATTGTTATCAGAGCCTCCTCTCATTTCCAGCACTTCCTTTCCTTCCACTCTGCTCCATCAGAGGAGAGGCTCTGCTGCCTCTAATTGTGCAAGGGTGAAGAGGGGAATCAAAGAGAAACCACATCTCAGATGTGCATAAATTGATCACTCTCAAGCAGTCACCATCCATTTTTCTGCTGCAGTGCAGTTTTCATGTGCCAACCAGCAGATTCATGTTTGAGTTGAATCAGCAAGACTGTTTGAGATGTGGCATGCACAGTTTCCACTGTATGTGATAATGCTGCATTCAGAATGACAGTGGTCTAAGCCTTAGGGCAGTAAATGCTTCTTGAGATACATTCAAGTGCTTTTTAACTGAGTTTTGCCTAAGGTGTAGGGGAAAGTTGCTGATGCTTTCAAACATGTTTAAACATTTTAATATTGTCTTGACATGTCAGCCCAAACTAAAGCACTCCTAGGAATAAGACAATGAAATTCTGTAATTAAAGGGCCAGGACTTCCAGTTTTAAATGGTAGCTCTCTCCTTGAACTTCTCAATTAAATGTGCTTACAACACTGAAACTATTCTTTTGAAGGGTTGTACTTGCAAGTAATATTGGTCATTTTGTTATCCATGATGAGCATACAGAAAAGAAGTAGAATGTATTATTCCCAGATCTCAAAATATTTAGAATAATTTGTTTATTGCAAATAATATAATATCATTGATCATTTTTGTGATCTTACTGCATCAATAAACAAACATAATTCAGTAGTTTCAAACAACAAGATTTAGCACGTCTCACATTTCTGCAGATTAGCTACATGGTTCTTCTGCTATTTTTACCGGTCTCACTCATTGGGGAGCACACACCAGGACAGTTGGATGGGTGTGGGCATTGCTGCGAATGCTGGTCTACTTCTCAAGTGATGTTTCATCTTCAAACAAGCTAGATCAGCCTTTCTCTCAGGATGGCCATCTCAGTTCCCAGGGCAGAAGCAAAAGCTGTTGGCCTCTAGAGAGCTCTGCTGCAAATAGCACAGTTATCACTTGCGCCACATTCTAGTTGTCAGTGCTATCCCAGCTTCAAGGGCTAGAAAACAGAATCCACCTCTTGACAGTAGGAGCAGTAATATCTCCTTCCAGAGTCCTATGTAAAGGGAGATTAGTGGAGTTTCTGGTGTTCTTTTGCATTTTAAAACAGTGTGGCCACATCGTGAAACTTGCCAGACTCATGCTGAATGACTTTTTTGTCTTATTATTTTTGATGAATGAACGGTGCACTGGATTGTAGGTATTTGCTCTGCTTTTGTTGTCTTACCAGGATTTACAACTTTGCAGCCTTGCGTTCATCTCTTTTTAATACTAGATGCATCATCAAAACAGTGTTCCTGTTTATGTTGCCCATGCAGAGAAAGCAAGATACCATGCCAGTGACCCAATGTTTTAGGGGAAAATTTCAGGTGCAATGATTAACCATTAGAATGATCTGTTTAGGTTATAGAAATAAGTCCAAATAATAGTTCCTCTGTCTTTGAAGTTTGAACAACAGTGACACATACTGAATAAATGTTCTGGGCAAACTCTTAAAGAGGTGTGGGGGAGGGGCTGGTATACAGAATTTTGTGGCCAGTGTATTTTCCTAAATAGATGGTAGCTCTGGTGTACTGCAGAATCTATTAACATAAATCCAATAGCATTACTAGAAAAATAAAATATAAAAGCAGATATATATTGATAGATTATAGCCACTGGATATAACAGTGACTATAACCTACAAGTTACTGAAAACTTTGAGTGCATCAGGGACCTTATTAAGGCCTGTATATGCACTGACTCATCTTACAAAGAATGAGGAGTAGGTATTTTTTATAAATCTCACATTGGTATTGGTCAGTTTTTCATGTTTATGTCAAAGTACCTGAGGCGCTGCTTTATAAGGAAAGTGTTTTATTTAACTCACGACTCTGCAGGCAGGAAGTCTAAGTAGCATGAGGCAGATTGTGGTGAGGGCGCGTTTTGGCTGCATCCCTTCATGGTGGAAGACACAGAGGATACATGGGGCTGTACTCTTAGTAATCTAATCTAACCCACTTGCTTCCCAAAGGCCCACAGCTACACACTATCATCAGATTAAGTTTCCATTCTCATCATACCATTGACTAATGACTTTGGAGCTTATCATTTCACAAATTGAGGGGATATTGTACTTAGATTGTACCAAGGAACTTGCAACTCTGAGAAGCCTTCCTAAATTCCCCAAACAGGCAAAAGGCAGGGATTTTTCAGTCATTTATATAAAAAAATCCAAGTCCAACTCAGAGTGCATTTTTAGGTTTCTGTCCCCTCACCCCTAAGTTTTATTTGCTATGGTAATAATTTTCTGTGTAAATAATTTGAACTAATATTTATTTTATGATTTCTTCTCAGATCTATTTTATAAGGAAAATAATAATAAACCACTTAATCATTTGACTTAACAGAAGATATTTTCATTCAGACTAGTAATGGCAATTAAAAATAGTAAAGGCAATGTAAAAATAATTGTTGAAAAGTAGTTTCCAGTTATTCATTTTATTATATTGATGTCTACATAAACATTTTAATTTTTAAAAAATTTTTGAGTGATAAAGAGGGACAGGCAGGCAGAGATTGTCCATCTGTTGTTTCAGTCCCTAAATGCCCACAGTGTTCACAGTTGAGCCACCCTGAAACCAGGATCCAGGAATTTAATCCTGATCTCCCACTGGGTGGCATGGACAGAAGTACTCAAGTCATTACCTGCTACTTAGGTGTACATTAGAACAAAGACAGAAGAGAGTGGAGCAATGAGTTGTATTTAGGCATCCTGACTGAAATCTTAACCAGTAGGCCAAATGTCTATCTTTCATTGTTCTTGTTCATTCTTTTTGTAAAACCAAATTCCACCAGAATTTAAATGTTCATCTAGGAAAAAAAAAAAGTCTGAGTACATCAGGAAACTGAGAAGTATAAAAAGGAAAACAAATTCTTTTTAAAAATAAAAGGAAAATGCTTCTGCTTTTATTTTCCTTGAAAAAAGAAGAAATATCACAATTTTTCATGTGCAGAATTTTGCCAAATGTTAAGAATATACTAGTGCTTGATTTTGAAGGACAAATTGGAGGAATGGTGTGAATATCTGAGAAGTCTATCCATTCACTAACAATCCCTTTCTCTCCTATGATCAGGAAATTAAGTATATAAATTGTCAATTAAACAAATAAGATGACACATACAGCATTAGGTATCTGAGCTTTAACAGCAGTAAGGAAAACTCATTTGTAATGTTTAAAAACTAAATGCTGGGGCTGGGGTTGTGGCATAGCAGGTAGGGCCGCCGTCTGCAGTGCCGGCATCCCATATGGGCACTGGTTCGAGCCCTGGCTGCTTCACTTCTTATCCAGCTCTCTGCTGTGTTCTGGGAAATCAGTAAAAGAAGGCCCAAGTCCTTGGGCCCTTGCACCCATTTGGGAGACCTGGAAGAGGCCCCTGGCTCCTGGTTTTGGATCGGTGCAGCTCCAGCCAATTGGAGAGTAAACCAGTGCATGGAAGATTTCTCTCTACTTCTCCTTCTCTCTCTGTTTAACTCTGACTTTAAAATAAATAAATAAATCTTTAAAACAAAATAAACTAACTGCCACATTTTCCTACCTTCCTTTGGTAATTGGTGAGATCCATTTATCTTCAGCTCAAGCCATGGCCTTGGAATGGGGTAAATGTGAAGGATTCCAGCAGAATGCACACCCAGCAAGCCTTCAATCTGTGCAGGTGTAGGGCTGTTTGTAAGTCTTAATGAGACCTGTCATAATGATGCCTCTAATGGTTTCTGAATTCTGTAAGAAGACCTCTGAAAACTTGAATGCCTCTGAAAATCTGGATTTGTTATTTCTGATGATTCCTTATATTATCTGTCACTTCTTGTTGAGGTCATTGAGACAACATCAAGCAGCATCTGCCCACCATCCAACCTTCTACAAAAAGATTTTTGTTTAGAGAGAGATCCTGATTTCTTAAATTAATGATTTTCACTACTTTTGGAAATGCATTGTTTTAAGGTGGTTTTACCACTCTCTATTAAGAGTAAAAGCATAGTATCTACTTTTTGTATTGTTCAGTTATTTTTTTCCCTCTTTCTCTGGGAACTATAGCTTTTTCTTATGGCTATGCATAGCAGTAATTGACCTGTGAATAACACAGCTGTTTAAGAGGCAATTTATGTAATAGAAACATCTAAAGTGAGAAGCAAAACACTTAGTCTTTGACCTCCACTCTCCTACAGATTGGACCCACTCACTGCTTCTATTCTCCTTGCTGCTCAGTTGTGGCAATGAGTGAAAGGAATGAGCTATGGTGACATACTCTCCATGTTATAAATTGTTCTGAGATTGTTTGCTCTTATGATGCTTAAAATTGGGTACTTTTGAGAGGAAATTAAGTTTATATCTAAGAAAAGACTGATCTTCTAAAATGGCACAATGATTTTATTAAATAGCATAACTAGATACTAACGGGAACTCTGGGGTGGATGTCCAGTTGAGCAGTTCAGATGCCCTTATCCCACATCAGAATGCTTGGGTTTGATTTCAAGCTCCGCCTACTCATTTCAGCTTCTTGGCCAAGGAACTGGTTGCTTCTACCCACATCAGAGATCTGAATGGCATTTTCAGCTCTTGCTTTGGCCCTTGCTGGGGCCATTGTAGATATTTCAGAATAAACCAGCAGATGGGAGCTCTCTCTCTCTCTGTGTATGTCTCTCTCTGGATAAAAAAAGAAAGAAAACAGAACATAACAGAAAAATCCTGCAAATAATGTTAAGGAAGAGCATCCAGCGAATACCATGCTTCTGTCAGACTTCTCAAAGTTTGATACTATTGAGTGGGGCAGAAAACACAAAATGAAAAGCCTCTAAAGAACAGGCTTTATTGTAGAAAATGTTTATAGAGAATACAAGTACAATTCCATATAGCACATTTAATGATTGTATTGTTTACACAATACCAACAAGACTTGTGATTAGCTGTTTTCTACCTTCATTGAGGTCAAAATAAAGCAGTACTAAACCGAAGCACAAAATAATGTTCACGGATGTCAGAAAACATCATGCAGTGAAAGGCTGGGAGAGTACTAGTTGTGGAAGATCTGCCTCTGTAGTCCTACCCAAAAAGGGCAAAAGCAGACATTTGCTGCAGCAATTCACATGGAGACAGATGGCCAGCCTGGCTTTTGTACCACCTCCCTCCCTGGACAACCCATTGATCCATTAGCCCATGAGTGGGTTAACCAGGCTGAGAAGGCAGAGCCCCCATGACAGGTCACCTCCCAAAGTCCCTCCTCCAGATTCCGTGGGGACTAGTGCTGAAGCCACAGTAAGGCTCTCAGTCCCTCTGCCTCTCTTGTTAGGAAGCCCTTTTTCACCCTCCCCTTCCTCTCTTGCTCTGATGGAAGTGTGAGGTGTTGAGAGCAGGCGTAACTTTCTCTTGCCTCCCTTAGCACCATTAGAAAGTAGAAGATCTCCATTAAGTAAACTTTTTGAACAAATACTTGAAATGTTAAACAAAACTCCTCTTGCAAGGAGGCTGATAATGAGCTGGGGTTCGGGGAGTTTATGGTGAAAGGACACGCGTGCAGTTACCATCCTAGCCACGTTTTTAAGAGGACAGTCTGGTAGAATTAAGTGCATTTACTTTCTGTACTATCATCAGTGCCCTGCATTCACAAAACTCTCTTCGTCTTGCAAAACAGAAAGTCTGTGCTCCTAACCAGCAACTCCGCATTCTCCCCTTGCCTCGGCCCCTGGCGACCACCACCTGCTTTCTGGAGCCCTGAATTTGACTGCTCTAGGTACCTCGCATAAGTGGGACCTTATCTGTCGTTTTGTGACTGGCTTATTTCAGTTAGCACAGTCTCCTCAAGGTTCATCCGTGTCGTAGCATGTGCCAGGATTTCCTTCCTTCTTAACACCAAGTGATATTGCACTGTGTTTATAGCCACACGTTGTTTAGCCATTCCCTCCCGAGAACAACTCCCTCCCGAGTTGTTCCTGCCTTCCAGCTACTGTGAATAATGTTGCGTGTGCACACTGTGCACGTCTCTGAGTCCTTGCTTTCTTTTCTGCATAGACCTAGAAGCGGAGTTGCTGTCTCACGTGGGAATCCTAGGTGTAATTTTGTTGAGGAACTGCCATACAGTTTTCCATAGTGACTATGCCATTTTACATTTCCACCAGCAGTGTGCGAGGCTTCCCACCTCTCCACGTCCACACTAGCACTTCTTGCTCTCTGGGGTGTTTTTAGGTGGTGGTGTATTGGTAATAGCCACCCAATGTGAGGCACTATCTCATTGTGGTTTTGCTTTCTTTCCACTTTCTCATAATTAGTGATGTTGAGCATTTTCTCATGTGCTTGTTGGCCACTTGTATTTCTTTGGAGAAATGCCTATCCAAATCTTTTGCCCATTGTAAAAATTGGGTTCTTTGGGTTTTTGTGTTCTTGAGCTATGGAAGTTCTTTCATAGTCTTGGATTTGAATCCCTAAAAACTGCTTTTAATTTTTTAAAATGTATTTATTTATTTGAAAGGCAGAGTGATATATATAAATACAGAGAGACCTTCTATCTGCTGGTTCACTTACCAAATGGCTGCACCAGCCTGGACTGGGCCAGGAACCAGGAACTGCATCCAGGTTTCCCATATAGGTGGCAGTGGCCCAAGCACTCAAGCCATCTGCTGCTGCCTTCCCAGGTGTGTTAGAGCAGGGAACTGGATCAGAAACTGAGCAGCTGGGACTCAAATCCATTCTCAGATGAGATGCTGGCATGGCAAGTGGCCGCTTACCCTGCTACACAAAGCAAAGCTCATGATTCTGAACTCTACTGGTACACTGTCTGGGGTCAGTGCTGCTCTCACCAGCACTGTCCACCCACACCTCAAATGCCAGTCAGTGACTGTCTCAAACCTGTTCTCCAACCAGAGCAGAAAATAGATAGAACTGACTACAAGATGTCTGTATGCCTGACTGTGAAGCAGCACCCTCTTCTACCCAGTTCCCAGGGAATTAAGCTTCTATCCCCAACACCCAGGAGAGCTGGTTTCCTGGTGGAGTCTGGGCTGGGAGTCCCAGGTAGGGAAGGCAGGTCCAGCAGTGACCCCCCTACTGCCCCCAGAGCTCAGCTTGTGCCCACCCCAGGCCCAGCTGGGACACACCCTCGTTTACCTCATCTCAGAAAAGCAATTTAGGGGCCAGCGCTGTGGCGCAGTGAGTTAAGGCCCCGGCCTACAGTGCCGGCATGCCATGCGTTCACCAGTTCAAGTCTTGGCTGTTCTTCTTCCGATCCAGCTCTCTGCTATGGCCTGGGAAAGCAGTGGAAGATGGCCCAAGTCCTTGGGCCCCCTGCACCCACACGGAAGACCCGGAAGAAGCTCCTGGCTCCTGGCTCCTGGCTTCAGATCAGCTCAGCTCTGGCTGTTGAGGTCATTTGCGGAGTGAGCCAGCCCATGGAAGAACTCTCTCTGTGGACCTACCTCTCTCTGTAACTTTGTCTTTCAAATAAATAATTATTTAAAAAAATTTATTTTCAACAAAATATTTCTCCCATTCTCTATTTTAGATTACTTGGGATAATAACTAACATGTATAAAGTTGTCACATGCCAGACATGTTTTTAAGATTTTTAAATTTATTTTAATTTGTATTTGAATGAGACAGATGAGATCATCTGTCCACAAATTCACCCCCCAATGCCTGCACAGCCAGACTGCAGCCGGGAGCCTGGAACTTTACCTGGGTCTCCCATGCAGCTGGCAGTTCCCAAATACTTGAACCACCTCCTGCAGCCTCCCAGGGTGCAAAATAGCAGGAAGCAGAGCTGGGACCTGAACCCAAGTGGGATGTGGGTGTTCTGAGCAGCACCCTAAACTACTTTTTCACCAAATGCCCACCCCTTGCCAGACACATTTATATGGGTTAATAGTTTATATTTACACACTTTGGGGCCATGTGCTGCCCTTACCCCCAGTTTCTAGATGAGGAAATCAAAGCACACAATTACTTCGATCCTCATCTGGGCCCAGATGAATTTGAGCTTAGCAGTCTGCCCCCAGAGACTGGACTCAGCCTGGTGCTGTGGAGCGTGGCTCCTTCCGCTCTCCCCAGGGCAGTGAATTCCCGACAAATGCATTGCTTGGGGCTGGCAGTTCTAAGTTGTAGTTCAAAAGGCTTTGATCCCTATCTCTTTAAAAAAAAATTACTTATTTGAAAGAACCCTAGAGAGATCATCCACCCTCTAGATCCCTCTCCAGATGGCCGCAATGGTCAGGCTTGAGCCAAGCCAAAACCAGCAGCTGGGAGCTTCATCTGGGTCTTCCACATAGGTTTCAGGGACCCAAGCACTTGGGCCATTGTCCGCTGCTTTGCCAAGCCACTAACAGGGAGCTGCATCAGAAGTGGAGCAGCTATAGGATGCTAGCATTGCAGGCAGTGGCTTAACCCACCATGCTACAACCTCGGCTCCCATTGAAGGATTTTGAGTCAAGGAACAGCTTTCCCTGAGTTTCCCTTTTTGAAGACACCTCCTGGCTGCTCTGCAAAGAGTCAAAGCGTGGAGACCAGGTAAGGACAGCCTAGTGCATGATGACAGCTTGAACTGGGCTGGTGGCTGGAGATACAGGTGGAGAGGATTTGAAAGCTGTTTGCAAGTCGATGGGGGTGGCGCACCTGGAGCTGAGAGAGGCAAGCACTGAGAGGTGGGGAAGGCTGGGGACAGAGGGAAGCAGTGGCCACTCACATCACTGGGCACGCGCAGGAGGGAGGACGGAGGCCAGAGTCCTCGGGAAGAAGGAGAGAGCTCTTCTCTGCCGTGCCAGAACCAGACCAGTGGACGGTAACTGGAGAAAGGCGTCAGACTCCGAGGTTTGTCTTGCACATGGTGGAGGCTTTTAAGTGGGGCGATACTGGAGCATAGTGTTACTGACAATGACCCAGCAGAGAGAGAAAGTGACGGTTTTAGGAAAAAAACGAAGGCTGCACTCTGGAGAGGGTGCCAGGCTCGCCCCGTGGCTAAGCAGAAAGTGGTAGTCCATAAGATGCTCCTTGTTGCACAAGGGAGAGATGGAAAATGCAGATTAGATGTGGGTGGATCTGAGGTAGCCAGGGTGGAAAGATCAGGGCAGTTCTGTCTGAATAGTTCTAGTTTTTCTGTTCCGTATTAGATGAGAAACGTGAAGGCTCAGAGATCCGTTAACTTGCCTGAGGTCACGTGCACTGGAAGGGGCTGAGCTGGATCTTCTGATTCCAGGCCTTTCCTCACCTGGGTCACCTTCTCTGCTGTTCCTTCCCCTCCGCAGTGTGGTGCCCGTGAATAATAATCTGTGCAACCCGCAGTGCGATGAACCTCTCCGCCGTGGGCTTCACTGTTTGCACTTGTTGGTGCTGCCACAGACGGCAGTGAACGCCACAGGCCCTGAAATGTTCTTTCTCTGTTTCCATCCATAACCCCAGCTGCTGTTTCCTTTCATGGCACCATAATCTGAAGAGAAACCTGCTATGCTCTCCTCAGTTGCTGGGGCAGAGCAGGTGGATGGAGGGTGGAAGGTTCTAGCGGCATCTTCGCCGGTGAGGGCTGTGTCAGGCCCAGGGTCTCCCTCCCATTCACCAGCCTCGGGAGCCCTATTCATTTATCCTGGAAAGTGGCTGCAGGAGTGCAATGTGGCTGAAGTGTGGCTGGGGAGGTTTCCTAAGGTTCTTTCATTTTTTTTCTTAATTATTTGAGAGGCAGAGAGAGCTCCTATCTACTGGTGCATCACAGGCACCGCCTTGGGATGGAAAGATTGGCCATGGCTTCCGTAGACTATGACTTGGCATTCCCCCTGGGGAGTTCCCCATGAGCTGGATCCTGCCCTGGCTGTGGCTTCCCCTGTCTGCTCTTCTCCGTGGCCAGCCTCCTGCCCCCACTTTTCTGTTGTCCTAGGATGAGCTTTGCAGATCCCCTCCTCCCAGGGCACTCTCATGACCTGGGCAGCACTGCGTTGACCTGGCAGCACTCTGCGTGACTTGGGCAGCACTGTGTGTGACCTTGCAGTGGAGGGAAAATGCTGGTTCATGGGAGGCCTCCCACAGGTTGTGAGTGCTGGCTGAGTTTTGCAGGCTACCTAGACATGACCCAGAAAAGGAAAGGAAGTGCTGTGTTTAACTTCTGAGAGGTAGAAATGAGCCTCATGCGTTTAGGGAACGGGATAAGCAAAGCGCAGAGCTTTCAGTGAGACAGGAGCTCCAAGGAGAGACAGGAAGTCAGTCATGGAGAGCCTATGTCTCCCGTAATTAAGTCTCTGGCCTACACCTTAGGCCACAGCCATTCCCTTCCATTAAATGCCGATGCTGTTTTTAACACAGCCATGCATAAGGGAGCCTAAGGCAGCTGACTTTCCTCTCACCTGTATTAGCTGGACACTGTTGTCTGCTCTAGAGTTGTTTCAAAATAATAAAGTGCAGGGACACAGTTTGTGGGCCTGAGTCTGGTGTTTCGATGGGTGCTGACTAGCAAACTGGGGCACAGATACAGGGACACGGCTCTCAGCTAGAGCTGGCTGCGTTTTTAGGAAAAAAGTATAAAGTCCAATGCCTAGGTACAGAGATAGTACAATAGCAAGAGAGAGAAGTTCAACACAGCGTGTTACAGTATCTAGTAACTCTTTATTTCCACCCAAGACTGTCTGTCCCGCTGGGACTCACTGCCACCCGTGTCTGATGCTGCGCCTGCCTTTCCCCTCGGAGACGGAGGCGTGGACCACGTTCTGCTTACGTCACCAAAGTCTTCCTCGCTACCCGCCAAGCGCCGTGCCTCTGACTCTATCAGACCTTATCAATGTTTCAGGACTGGAAAACCGCGATATTTGCATCTGCAAAACAATGCATGACTTTAGGACTGTAACAGGCTTTAAAGCAGAACATACATGCTCTTTCTGCTTCTCCCAATGTTTTTCTGATTAAGATTTTATAATTTTACTCCCATTCATGTTTTCACAGAAACCTGCACTCTGTGCCTGAGTGTCTCTCTTTTAGAATTTACTTATTTTAAAATGTTTATTTATTTATTTGAAAGGCAGAGTTGGGGGGGGAGAAAGAGAGAGAGACAGACATAGAGAGAGAGAGAGAGAGAGACCTTCCATCTGTGGGTTTACTCCCCAGATGGCTGCAATGGGCAGAGCTGGGCTGTCCTGAAGCCAAGAATCAGGAGCTTTTGCTGGGTGTCCCATGAGGGTGCAGGGGCCCAAGCACTTGGTCTGTCTTCAGGCTCATTAGCAGGGAATTGGATTGGAAGTAGAACAGCTGGGACTTGAACCAGAATCCATATAGGATGCCGGGGCTGCAGACGGCAAATTTACCTGCTACACCACAGTGCTGGCCTCCGTGATTCCATTTTCTTTACTGATTAAAAATCACTTGAGGGGGTAAGCATCTGGTGTGGTGGTTAAGAAGCCACTTAGGATACCCTGAACCCACATCTGGGTGTTGGGATTCACATTGTAGCTCTGCTCCTGATTCTAGCTTCCTGGAATGCGCAGCTTGGGAGGCAGCAGGTAATGGCTCAAGTGACCGTGTCCCAGAACCCACATGGGAGATTTGGATGGAGTTCTGAGCTCCTGAGCCTGGGCCTGCCCTGGCTATTGCAGATACTTGGAGAGTGATCCACCCAAGCTTAACTCCACCATGCACAGACTTTTGGGGAACCCCCGTGTCCCCATGCACTCACACAGTCCTAGCGGAGAAGCAGGTAAATAGTTCCAGGCGTGCAGGTGCGTGCTGCGGGGACACATGATGGCACATGAGCATGCGGGGCTGCGTCCCAAGGGCTGGGAACAGAACCCACACAGCCCAAGGTTAGAGGCAGCCCCAGGTGTCTGAGGGGTGGGGCAGCCTGCCCACAGGCCAGGGGGTCCAGGGAGCAGTCTGCAGAGGCAGCTTTAGGTCAGTTCCAGAGGCACATTTTATGTCAGCTCACAGAGTGCACACACAACAGCTAACTTACATTACCCAGAATGCTCTCAATCAGCCAGTGTAAGGAACAGTAAGACAACAGAGAGAATGAGAACAAAAGAAAGACAACTTAATTACTTGTGGGCTGCAAAAGATCCAGACACTGAGGATCTCACGGGATCTGAGGGTGCCATGGTCAACCTGCATTAGAACTGGGGTCCAGATCTCCAGGACAGGACCAGCCCCATTCATTCATTCCTTCTCTCTCTCTGCCCGCCCCCAGCCCCTTCTCTCACATCTCTGTCCCTTGGACTCCAACTCAGACACAGGCTCCCTTCCCAGGAGAGAGGGCTCCCACCATCCTGGCATTCACAGCCCCCACTGGAAGCCCTCCGGATGGAGAACTCTTCCTGGTACCTCTGTCTCCGGCCCGGCAGAGCCCTGGCATGGACGCTACCTGCATTATGAGCTCATCCAGCTCAGGCACTGTGACCAGGGGTGGCCACCCAGGGGGCTGTGCCTGTGTCCCCTGCCCTTCCTGGCCACGGGTGAGGGTGATGTTTTGGGTCTCGTTGCCCCACTAAAGAGGCATTGTGTAGACACTTTCTCTGTTGATGAGTAACCTGGCTGTCACTGGTTCTGCATGTCCACCCCATTAGCACATGGTCCCCAGCAGCCTTTAGCTGAGTACAAGGGCTCTCATCAGCTTGATAAAACACATCAACACACGTGCAGATTATTTATCACCACACCCAGTGAACCAAGTTTGACAAAAGTCTGTGACACCTCTCTGAGGACAAGCAAAACTCCTTTACTTCACTGATATCAGATTTGGAGGGAGAAAGAAAGCTTGGTTCTGGGGACTGGTGTATGGCACAGCGGGCTAAGACACTGCTTATGATGCCAGCATCCCATACTTGAAGTGCCTGTTCAAGCCCTGGCTCCAAGCCAGCTCCATACTAACACACCTGAGAAACCAGCGGCATATGATCCAAGTACCTGGGCACCTGCAACCCCTGTGGTAGACCTGGGTGGAGTTCTAGGCTTTTTAAAAAGGTTTATTTTTTGATTATTTTATTTTATTTTTTGACAGGCAGAGTGGACAGTGAGAGAGACAGAGAGAAAGGTCTTCCTTTGCCATTGGTTCACCCTCCAATGGCCGCCGTGGCCGGCGTGCTGCGGCTGGCACCCTGCGTTGATCAGATGGCAGGAGCTAGGTACTTATCCTGGTCTCCCAGGGTGCAGGGCCCAAGGATTTGGGCCATCCTCCACTGCACTCCCTGGCCACAGCAGAGAGCTGGCCTGGAAGTGGGGCAACTGGGACAGAATCTGGCGCCCCTACCGGGACTAGAACCTGGTGTGCCAGCGCCGAAGGCAGAGGATTAGCCTAGTGAGCCGCGGCGCTGGCAAAAAAGATTTATTTTTTTGAAAGGTAGAGTTACAGAGAGAGAGGGAGGAATACAGACAGACAAACAGACAAGACATGCACACACACACACAGACACACAGAGTAGAAGGGGAGAGGGAGAGAGAGGGAGAGAGAGACAGACATACAAAGAGAGAGGTCTTACATCTGCTGGTTCACTTCTCAAATAGCCACAATGGCAAGGGAAGTGCCAGGTGGAAGCAGGAACCAGGAGCTTTCTGGGTCTACACTGTGGGAGAAGCAGCCTAAGCATCTGGGTCATCTTTCGCAGCTTTCCCAGGCACATTAGCAGGGAGCTGGATTGGAAGTGGAGCAGCCGAGACTGAAGCCAGCACCCATATGGGATGCCAGTACTGCACCGCTGGCTGAACCCATTACACCACAGTGCCAGCCCCGTAGGCTCCTGGCTTTAAACTGACCCTCCCTAGCTGTTGCGGCCATGTACGAAGTGAACCAGAGGATGGAAGATCAATCCCTCTCTGTCCACGGATCTCTCAAATAAATAAATCTTAGAAGAAACTGTTATGCCCAGATCAGCTGAATCCCCAAAAATCACCAGAGACTTGATCTCACCGAAATGCAAAAGCAAGGTTTACTCTGGAAGTATAAGCTGCGGCAGGGACCTCATCTAACCAACCGACGCAGTGGAGGTCAGAGGAAGGCCCTGAGCTTTGTTCGGGAGCGTTTTTAAAGACAAAGCTGCAGTGTTACATCAGCAAGGGTTTGGGGTACGGGGCTACAGTGGATTGAACGGTGCCATTCCTGGTAGCTCTTGGTTGGACGAGTCTGATCCTGATTGGCTCAGGCCCAGGGCATTTCCTTATTTGGTTTTGGTAACTGTTGAATGTTTGCATTTACGGGAACTTGGGCCTGCTCCAGAAAATGGAGGCTACTTTTTAAAATGGAGGCGCCTTGGCTCTTCAGAATTTAGGCGCCAGTGCTGTGGCATAGCAGGTAAAGCTGCCACCTGTGACACTGGCAACCCATATCAGGAGGCTGGTTTGAGTCCCGGCTGCTCTGATTCTGATCCAGCTCCCCGCTAACGTGCCTGGGAAGGCAGAGGAAGATGGCCAACTACTTGGGGCATTGCCAACTGAGGGGAGACCTGGATGGAGTTTGGGTGCCTGTCTTCAGACTGGCCTAGTCTAAGCCATGGTAGCCATTTGTGGGGGGGGGGGGCAGGGAAGGTGAACCAGTGAATGAAAGTTCTCTCTCTCCCCCTCTTTCCTCTCTCTCTCTGTCTCCACCCGTGTGTGTTTATTGTCTCCCTGTATCTGTAACTCCACCTTTCAAATAAATAGTTTTAAAAATAAAAACAGTCTAATAAGACATTTTCTTAGCAGTTTCCTTTGGGATTTACACTGAATTGAATTCTTGGGGCAGTGCCCACAGAGATTCCGCCTCCTCATTTTAGTCCAGCGTGGACAAGATAGGACTTTCCACAGCATGTTCAGGCTACTGCTGAGCAGAGCTGGGGGACACAGAGTCCTCAGGGCCATCACTTACCTTGGGGGAGATGAATTTTCTAAAACCACATGGGTCTGCAAGGCTCCCACCAGCACTGGGGAGGAGTGATGAGAAGGAGAGCTGTGGTGTGTCTCTCGTCCTTGCCGACGCTGTTTTGCAGTCCGGATGGGAACTCTGTTTTTCCTCGAACTGGGTTACTTGAAGGGACTTGGAAAACCTCATGGAAAATGGAAATAAAGGATGAGCTTATTTGTTGCAGTTTTTGAAATTCACGCATAGGAGAGGGGATACAAAACATTCACGGGCAAAGTATGTTAAGGACAAACTATGCACAGGTTTTCAAAAGTTTTTGCACCTAAATAAATTTTGAATTCTATATCTGGTGATGTTTTGGTAGTATCCTGAGTTTCATCTTTATTTGATCTGCCTTCAAAAACTCCAACCTTATTACAAAGATGAGTTTTTACCTGTGCTTAATGGAAAACAGTCCCCAACGTCTTCATAATTTAATTTTTTTGACTTTTGTAGCAAAACTGTAGTGAGAATTCCTGGGGTGCTGGTTCTTTCCTCTCAGCCCTGAGGAGGTGACCAGCACTGCAGGAAATCATGGAGAAATCGCATTGTGCAGTGTCCCTGGACATCCTGGAGGAGGGGGTCATCTCCCCAGGGAGGGGTTCCTCTCCCAAGAGGGTGTGGGCAGTCAGTGCAGAGGGACCATCATGTGTTCCTGGGGCCCATGGCTGTGCTGGGCCCTGGGGGCTCCTCAAGAACTGCAGGAGACACAGATCCACTTGCTATGTGGGGGCAAGGGTTACCGGGCTCACTTCCTACCTGAGATGAGTGTGGGGAGCAACTCGGACTAGACTAAGTTACTGGAATTAAGACTTATTCTATGCATCTGCTCTCCCACAATATGGCGCTGGGAGAGAAGAAAACAGCTTCTACACAGCTGCCTCCAGTTCAGCCAATAAACTGTAGGACTTGCTCCTGATTGGAGGAGAGCAGCGTACTCGGCGTGTGGGTAGCAGAGTTGGGATTGGTGGAAGAGGACTATAAAGGAGGAGAGAGACAACATGCACCAGGAACATCTAAGGGGAACATCTAAGGGGAACACCTGTGCAGCCCCCGAGAGAGCCGGCCGGCGGTGTGCCGCTCCCCCGCGGAAGTGGGGAATGTGGCAGGGGGAACCGCCCTTCCACGGAGGTGGAAGGGACGGTAGCCACCCCGGGAAGAACCAGCAGCAAACCCGGGGAGGGCCGAGCAGACGAAAGAACAGCGCAGGGTCCTGTGTCGTTCCTCCACGAAGACGGGGAGCGACATAATGGTGCCGTGACTCGGATATGAAGCCTAGGCAGGGTTTAGTGTCGTTCCCCCATGAAGACGGGGAGCGACAGATGAGTTTGTCGCTTCCTTGGGAGAAACACTGCTCCTGAGGGCTCAGCACGAAGCTGTCCCAAGGAGACAGATGTGAGGCTGTGATGCGGCCATCGTCCCGTCCTAGTTCTGGGCAGTGCAGGACCTGAGGAGTTGAAGCAGGGAGTTTCTCCTTTTTTCCTAAGTTGCATTCTATGTGTGTGAGAGTGAAGAGGGGAAAGAGAGAGTGCTAGTGAGAGAGAGAGAGAGAGAGAGAGGGAGGGAGGGAGCTAGGGAGAGGGAGCTAGGGAGCTCCTCCATCCTCTGATACAGCCCATAAATGACCTCCAGGCCTTGGCCAGGCTCAAGCCAGGAGCCAGGAGTTTTGGTGGTTGTTGTTACAGGAGCCCAAAAACCCCAAGTGCCTGGCAGTGCCTCGATTCCTCCCTACCGGGTGGAGGACAGTCTCAGAGGATGTAGCTTTCTCGGCTGCCTCTGATTGGGCCTTCCATGTTTGGACTGCACAGACCCCACTACCTTCTGGGCTTCCAGGGTTTCTGCCAAGAAATCTGACGATGACTTAGGGGGAAAGGGTGACAGAGCCACCTTCCTCTCAGCTCTGGAGGTGCGAACAGTGTACCTGGCGGTGTCTTGGGCAGCAGAACACTTGTTGAGTTTACCGAGGCCAGAGATGTTGTTCCATCATTCTGAGACCCATCACTCAGAGAGTAAAGACAAAGGAGGGGCTATACTAAGTGGAGACACTAGGAGGTCTTCAAAAGATGCAACGTATCATCATATTTAAACTAGTAATGAGAAGGCCACCCAAGCAATCTATAGGTTGGAGTTTCTCAAAAATTAAGTATCAAGCCCTATCACCAACCTAGGCCAAAAACTCTTTGGGTATCGTTTTAATTTTATTGGAAGATTATCGAGAAAAACCACTGTGGATGAACTACAGCTCCCATTGGTCAATTTCTTGCTCTGACTTCATAAGTCACCACTGTTATGAAAGTCATATTACACAGTCCCTGGCTGGGCTGTGACTGGTCCATTTCTTGCTCTGCTCTCACAAGGCGCCATTATGTGAGGTGAACCCCCAAAAAGTATATATAGCTGCTACGGGGGCCTAGATTTTTGTCCGCCTTACCCAGAGAGCACTCTTTTGTGATCTGTGTAACTAGGACCCATCTAACCAGCCTTTGCGCTCATTGGTGTTGCTTGTGCTTTTTCTTGGTTGTTTGTTTCTGGGTCTATTTGGTTTTTGCTTTTTTCCATTTTGTTTAGTTTGTTGTTTTCCTCCTCGTTGTTGTTTTGCCCATTTGGTCTTTTTTTGCAGTTTTCTTTATTTTTGCTTCCCCCACTCTAGTCAGCTAGCACACTCAGAAGTATCAGCGTTCGAGGATTTAGTGGCTTTTCCTCTTTGTTTTTTCTGCATTATTGAGATAGGCTTGCGGCATCGCCGCTAGAGTAGTGAGAGTAGCTGGTGCTGTGTCTTAGTCAGCTGGGTAGTCAGTCCCCCGTGGTCCCTTTGTGTTGTAGGCAGTGCAGTGAGGATCGGTGATTAGCTAGTGTGTGTCGAGTGATTTAGGGAGTCGAGAGAGCGTAGTTAGGTGACCGGCATCATGGAAGACCCCTTGGACTTCCATCCTCCTCTGGATGGGATCCGTTTTGTGGACGTAATCGGCCGGGGCGGCTTTGGCCTGGTGAAGCTGGCCCGGCACCTGGCGTCGGGCAAGTACGTGGCAGTGAAGATCCTCCTGCGAGACTGCTCTCCCAGCAGCCCGCTGTCCGCGCAGGGGGAGGCAGCCATCCTGAGGAGCCTGCGGCACGACAACATCGTGCGGCTGCTGGAGGAGCGGCACACGAGGACGCACCGGTTCCTGGTCATGGAGCTGGCGACCAAGGGCTCGCTCCAGAGCTACGTGTTTGAGCAGGGCGGCCTGGCCGAGGCCGAGGCCAGGACCCTGTTCGGCCAGGCGCTGGCCGCCGTGAGCTACTGCCATGCCCAGCGCGTGGTGCACCGGGACCTCAAGCTGGGCAACCTGCTGCTGGACGAGCACATGACCATCAAGCTGGCGGACTTCGGCCTGAGCCTGCGGCTGGAGCAGGGCACACTGGTAAGGGGCTTCTGGGGGACCCCCGAGTACTGCGCACCAGAGGTTTTCCTCGGGGAGGCCTATGACGCTTTTAAGGCTGATGTGTGGAGCCTGGGAGTGGTGCTGTTTGCCATGCTGGCGGCCACGCTGCCCTTCCGCGGCAAGGACACGGAGGAGCTGCAGGACACGGTGCTGTGTGCCTGCTATGTGCTGCCGCGTGCCGTCAGCCCGGCCCTTCGGGAGCTACTGGCTTGGCTGCTCACTGTCCACGCCTCGGGGAGGCCCAGTGCAGAGGATGCCAGGGCACACTGGTGGTTCGATTCCGGCCGAGAAGCCACCCAGGAGGAGAAGGAGGCCGCTGTCACCCTGCTGCAGCCCCTGGGCGTTCCCCGCGACTCAGAGGCCAAGGAGTACCTGGCGGGCCTCGGCCTGCTGCCAGGCACGGGGACTGAGGGGACGCCAGGCCCTTAGCCCCAGGGCCCTGCATCCCTGCCCGAGTCCTCACAGGGCGGGGAGCGCCACCCCACAGAGAAGGACCGCTTGTCTGTGGTATCAGTGTCCTCTGAAAGCATGTCTGTCAATATTTCCTCCGCACAAAGCGACTCCTCCGAGGCCTCCAGAGAGTCTTGCCCTCTCCCCTGCCTCGGGGCCTCCAGGAGCTGAGCCCAAGGCCCCTGAGGTGACCCCACTCTTGACTCTCTCCTACCAGGCCAGCCACAGCAGGAGAGGAGCCCTGCTCCCAGCACCACCCCCAACTCCTCCCAGGCCTCCAGTGAGTCTGGCCCTCCCCCCTGCCTCGGGGCCTCCAGGAGCTGAGCCCAAGGCCCCCGAGGTGACCCCACTCTTGACTCTCTCCACCAGGCCAGCCACAGCAGGAGAGGAGCCCTGCTCCCAGCGCCGCCCCCAACTCCTCCCAGGCCTCCAGTGAGTCTTACCCTCCCCCCTGCCTCGGGGCCTCCAGGAGCTGAGCCCAAGGCCCCCAAGGTGACCCCACACTTGACTCTCTCCTACCAGGCCAGCCACAGCAAGAGTGGAGCCCTGTTCCCAGCGCCGCCCCTGAGCCAGCCTCCGAAGCGTCGCCCTCCAGCCCCAGTGCCGGGAGCCACGTGGACCTTGCAGAGCCAGAAGCCGCCGCCGCCGCATCCCGTGAGCCCAAGGATGCTGACACCACAGACACCAAGGCCAGCGCCCAGGGCAAGAGGCAGGGCCGTCGCGGGGTCGGCAGGAGGATCCTCCGGTTCCTGCTGAGGGCGTGCTGCATCCTGCCATCCCAAGTGAGCAGCCCTGGCAGCTGCTGCAGAGTGGTCCCCAAGTAGCCTCGCCCCGCCCCCGTCTCCAGGAGCTATCCGCTGAGCTGACTGAACTTTTCTTGAGCATTTGCACATGCTTCTCATGAATAAAATTCACCATGTGTGCATGGCTTTGGTCCCGTGTGATGTTTGGTCCCTGTGTGCACCCTGGGCAGGTGATGGAGGTGACGGGTGGGTGGCTCTCACAGAAAGACAAACGCTGGGCCATCTCCCTGTGTGGGGATCACAGAAGGGCTGACATCATAGAAGTAGAGCATAGAGTGACGGATCCCTGAGCCTGGGCCAGGGGAGGAGGGAGGGAGAGTCACAGCTTCCATAGTGGCACAGGCACACGGGGGTTGGGGTCTGATGAAGAGTTGATGAACCAGGAGAAGAAGAAAATGGATCCAAAGCGCTGATGCCTCCCGGACCCTGGGGGGAAGCTGAGCTTGATGCCCTAGCCTGCCCAGGGCTTTCCGGTGACAAGCCTATGAACTCCTTTTCATTCTGAAACCTGCTTGGGGGGAGCTTGTCTTATTTCCATCCAGCATGCTGAAACTCTTCCTGTCTTCATAGCTGGGAAGTTTCATTTTTCAGGCCTGCAAGCACAGAAGTTTCATTATCCCCCCTTGCCTGGAATTTGGAGCTTCCAACCCAGTCCCCTCCAAGAACCCTGTTTCTTCCTGTTGGTGGGGAAATTACCTGCAGTCCCTAAGGGTCATTACCCTTTCATGGCTGCTGCCCAGGAGCCTGCACAAGCGCATCATGGAAGAGGAAATTGGAATGAGCTGTAAACGATGAAGAGATGACAGCTTAAGGGACAGGAAAATCAAAATGCAATGGGGGGGAGGGGCAGCAGTATGGTGTAGCTGGTAAAGCCCCCACCTGTGATGTTAACATCTCATTTGGGTGCCAGTTCCAGACCCGGCTGCTCCACTTCCTACCCAGCTCTCTGCTAATGTTCCTGAGAATGCAGTGGACGACGGCTCAAGTGCACCCACTGGGGAGACCCAGAAGAAGATCCAGGCTTCTTCAAAGAGACATGCATGCACACATGCACAAGAATGTTCAGGACTACCTTGTTGATGATACCAAGACTGAAAACAACTGATGTATGTGTACACAAGAAGTAAAGATTAACTGTGGTATAGTTACTAAATGCATTTTAGAAGGCAATGAAAATTAATGAACTTCAGCTACATATGGATGTGGATACAATGTGAGTAAATCTAAAAATCATAGCTCTGGGGGCTGGCACCATGGCTCACTTGGTTAATCCTCTGCCTTGCAGTACCAGCATCCCATATGGGCACCAGGTTCTAGTGCTGGTTGCTCCTCTTCCAGTCCAGCACTCTGCTGTGGCCCGGGAGTGCAGTGGAGGATGGCCCAAGTGCTTGGGCCCCTGCACCAGTGTGGGAGACCAGGAGGAAGCACCTGGCTCCTGGCTTCGGATCGGCTCAGTGCACCGGCCATAGCGGCATTTGGGAGGTGAACCAACGGAAGGAAAACCTTTGTCTCTCTCTCTCTCACTGTCTAATTCTGCCTGTCAATAAAATGAAATAAAAAATATAAAAAGCATAGCTCCACGTAAGAAATAGAACTCCCAATACCTACAAAAGTCATTTAGATACATACGATAATTGGTACATTATCCAGGGTTGTATCGGTAGAACAGCATAGGAGTGATCAACATAAACTCCTAAGAGTGTCTGTTCTTCAGAGGACTAATAGACCAGCATCCCAGTTATGTACGCTAACTCGGTGGTGGTTGTAGGCACGCTCACCCTACTCTTTACATTATATATGTTTTATACTTGTGTATGCATGTCACATGTTGCATTTTGTAGTGCAAATATTCATACAAAATGTAGCATTTTAACCATTTAAATTACTTATTTCGTTCATTTGAAAGGGAGGGAGAGAAAGACAGAGATAGCTCTCTCATTCACTTGCTCACCCCCAAATGCCCACAACAGCCAGGGCTGAGCCAGGCAAAGAAGCTAGAGCAGGGAATTCAATCTGGGTCTCCCTGTGGGTGGCAGAGACCAAAGTACTGAAACCATCACCACTGCCTCCCAGAGTGCACAGTACAAGGCAGCTGGGGAACGGCAGGCACTGTGCTGTCAGTTACCCGCTGCTCGCAACACTGGTATCCCATATGGGTGCTGTTTTGAGTCCCCATGGGAGACCCAGAAGGAGTTCTGGGCTCCCAGCTTCTCCTGGGACAGCCCCGGCCTTTGCAGCCATTTGGAGAGTGAGCCAGCAGATGGAAGACCTGTGTGTGTGTGTGTGTGTGTGTCCCTCTCACTCTCTCAAATAAATGAGTTTTCTTTGAACAAGGAAGCTCGTGTTAGGAGCTGCATTACCAGGAAGCTGGAATCAGCCAGGTGGGAACAGAACCCAAGCACACCAAAATGAGATCCAGGCCTCCTAAGCGGGCATCTTAAACCTCTTTGCCAAAAGCTCATGGCTAAATGTTTTTTAATTGAACAGTTCTATGGCACTAAGCAGAGTCATGTGGCTGCTCAGCCATCCAGTTTTCATCTCCAGGATCTTTTCATTACCAATTTTGTGAAGCTTTTGCATTATTTTTCTTCTAAGGAGTTTTTTTTTTTTTAAGATTTATTTATTTATTTGAAAGAGTTACAGAGAGGAGAGGCAGAGAGAGAGAGAGAGAGAGAGAGAGAGAGAGAGAGAGAGAAAGTGAGATCCTCCACCTGCTGGTTTACTCCCCAATTGGCTGCAAGGGCCCGAGGTGCGCTGATCTCAAGTCAGGCACTTCTTCCGGGTCTCCCACACGGGTGCAGGGGCACAAGGACTTAGACCATCTCCTACTGCTTTCCCAGGCCAGAGCAGAGGGCTGGATCGGAGTTGGAGCAGCCGGGACAGGAACCAGTGTCCATATGGGATGCCAGCACTGCAGATGATGACCTTACCTGCTACGCCACAGCAGGGTCCTCCTTTCTGAGAGTTTTGTGGTTTGAGCTCTTCCACTTAGATCTTTGATCCATTTTGAGTTCATTTTATATTTACATTCTCATAGATTTATATTTTTACATTCATCTTATTTATATGCGAATTCATCTTTTGTATTATAACGCCTTTTTAAACAGAAAGAAAAGAATCGCAGACTATTGGCTCCGGTAGGAACCCGCCCCATTACAGAGATCTGGGGAGGGAAGCAGGAGCACACAGGGCTCACGCAGCTGCTTCTAACGCCCCCGGGGCCTCGTGGCTCAATCTGCTTTCACAGCTCAACTGTAGCTACAGTTGGGGCCTCGGGTTGGGATCCGCCCCTTCCTGCTGCGCGCCCGCCCACGTCTCAGCACTAGCCCCGCCCCCGTCGGAGCTTTGAGAAACAGGCCCCGGTCTAGGGTGGGAGGGAAAACCCGGAAAAGTGGGATTCCTTCTGGTGGCCCGTCAGCGGCAGCTTGAAGGCCTGGCCTCCAGCTCCGTTGCAGTTGTTGATCCGGACCACGTTTTCACTTACGCCCAAGGCCGGACGGGAGCCGCGGGCCCTGGGCGGGGGACCCAGGCCGAGGGGAGGCGGGGCGCGTGCTCGGCCCGGATTGGCCATTCTAAATGGCGCGGGGCTTGGCGGGAGTTTCGTGGGCGCCGCGGGAGCAGAGAGCAGCCAGATGGCTCCGCCGGGCCGGGTGCGGTCCCGGAGGCCTGCAGGGTGAGAGCTGCGGGTCCCGCTCCGACTGACGCGGTTTGAGCCTTTGGGGCTGCGCTGGTGGAGCTTCCTTGTCGAAGTGACAGATCGCCAGGGCCTCGGTTTGCATCTCTCAGTGCGGATTTCCTAGGAGGAGTCAGGGCGTGACGCCTGGCCTGGCGGGTGGGAGAGACTTTGGGGTTCGTGGGGCTGAGGGTCGCGGGCGCTTGGTGCCTGCTGTTCCCCAGACGTGACGGGCTGCAGCCCTGCGGGTCGTGTCTGCCTTCGTACCCCAAAGCGCAGACTGTAACGCTGGCCCTCACCCCTGCCCGGGGACCGAGCTGCCCCTTCGGGAGTGTTCCAGGGCGGGGAGCAACTTTTCTCAAAAGGGGCATGCATTGGAAAGTACGTCGTATTCGTCGTTCACAGATTCGTGAGTGGACGCCCGGGCTCTCTAGCGTTGTCTACAGGGCATCCAGGCGCCGAAAGGTTTTTAAAAACCTGTTAGAGATGGAGACTTAGGGCATGTGTTGAGCCCTTCCCTCAAAAATGCACAGGAAAACACGGTTGTCTCAAGCGTCCATCTTGAACGAAGCCTCACCTGGACTCCAGCTGAAGGCGTATTGTTTGATTTGAGCACAAGCAAGAGACAGCTGGAAATAATTTAGGTTAAGACGCGTACTGATGTGGTTTCTGCTTCCTGCTGACGTTACTTGACTGTGTGGCCATTGCTGGATTTTTGTGGGAGGCCATGGATTTGAACTGAACGTCAAGCCGGTCACTGGGCTTAGGTGGCTGGGGGAAAGCTCTGTAGCAGTTAACTAACTGGGCTGTATGCAATGAACTGGATAAGGTGTTACCAATTGGTTGATTGGGTAGGCTGCAGCCAATTAAGTTAATGATGTGTGATCGCTCAGGTTGCTGGTGGTTCTCAGAACTTGCTTATATTTCTGGGGCTGCTCCATTCCCTAATTCTTTCTGGTTTTGCTTTGCCCAAATAAACTCGTCTAAATTTAATTGAACTAAAACTTCCCTGTTACCATCATTGCTAAGTCATTTAGCTTTCCTGAACCTCTGAATTATAACCAGAATCATAAAATTGCCATTGAGCAAATACTTGTTGTACCATTTTAGGTTTGGAGACTCAGAAAAAGCGTGGGAACTTGAGAACTGTGAACTCTCCACCCAACCCTTGACTTACTGAGCCAGAAACTGGGGGTGGCGCCAGGTGTGAGACCACTGCTCTAAACAGTGTTCCAGCTTTCTTTCTTTTTTTTTTTTTTAACTGTGATTCACACAATGATGTTTTGCATCGCAGTTAGTACGCAGGTGTGCATGAAACAAATCAGAAAGTTTATGAAAATATCCTATCCAGTGCAATCTTACATTTTATGTTCCCTTGATTTTCCCTTTTAAGAAAATGCTAGGGTGAAAATCCTAAAGGGTGTTGGAGAGCTGATGAGATTT